TTCTGGGACAGGTGTCACCACCCTGCTCTAGGACAAGTAAACTGAATTACCTGTGTCGCTGTCACTTCCTGCCACCTCGTCGTAGTCGGCATCCTGCCCCGACAGCAGGTCTTGTCCACAGACGCTCCAGTCTCCAGCGTACCGATTGATGGGCGGTGGGCTCTCCAACCGGGTCGGACCGCCCCGCCCCCGCCGCGATACCACCACCTCCTCCTCAGCGGGCAGGGCCAGTCGCAGGATGGGACGCTGCCCTGGGGGATTGTGGGTGAGGGCGGGGGAGGGAGGAGGGGAGGCGTCAGGGTGGTCGTCCGCCTGGACTCGATGGGTAGGCACTGGGAGAGGAAACGGTGAGATACGTTGGTTTCCATGGTAACAGCATTGTGTCAGAGGGGGCGGAGCTTCATGGTCTCACCTGGCCACAGCTGCAGCAGGTAGTGCAGCGCCTCGATATGCCGCTTAAAGTCCACGGCGCTCACGATGTCCTCGCCGTGACCAAAGCCTTTCCCTGCGCCTCGCCCTGCCCTCCCCCCTCCTCCCCCCCTCCAGGCCTCCTGCGTCGGCGTCAGCAGAACCGGACCGAAGCAGACCGCCAGGTTCTGGTGGGTCATCCTGTTGGATGGGCTGAAGGACGCCACGAGGCTGAGGTGGTCGAGGAGCAGCGACAGGGTGGCCTGCAGGCACAGAGTTAACATGTACTACTGCAGAATACTACTACTACGAATGTTACTACTACTACAGGACTAGAGTACTGCAGGACTACCGTGTTACAGTACACAGAACCAGGCGGAGGCAGTGGAGGGGCAGTGAGACAGTGGCAGGTAACATGTACTACTGCAGTACTTCAGGAGTGCTACTGTTACTGCAATACTACAAGACTACAAGACTACAGCAGGCAGCACAGGGACAGACTGTTCACCTACTAGACCTGTGCTGCAGTACTGTAGTACCACAACCGCTCAATACTACAGTACTACTACTAGTGGATCTATAATAGCAGTACTACAATAGTAGTAGTCTTACTGTGGCAGTAGCTGCAGTGCTGCAGTAGTATTGCTGCAGTAGTAGTTGCAGTACGACAGTAGTAGCTGCAGTACTGCAGTAGTAGTACTGTATCAGTACAGTAGTAGTACCCTCTCTGGAGGCGGCAGGCAGCCCAGCAGCTCCACGGTGCTCCAGGACAGTTGAGGGTCCGGTGCTGCAGGTGCTGCAGGTGGAGGTTGTAGCTTCATGGCCTCTCTGACCACCTGGTACAGAGTTCTGGTGATGAGGGGGGATGGCAGCTCCCGCAGGTAGTCCTTCAGGATACCTGAGGAGACGCAGTACCAGGTCAGGTAGAAGAACCACATGGAAGCTCAGGTATACATTCAGACTCAGATCTCACCCTGTTGCTACAAGTTCTGTAGGTCAGGTTTGTTATGTCAGGTTTACATTCTGTAGGTCAGATTCTTTCAGTCAGATTCCAGTCCTTTGGGTCAGGATTTTAAGGACTGGGTTGTTCAGGTTCCCAGGGGGGGCTCACTGACCTGTGATGACGTTGATGTCAGGGTAGAGGTCCTCAGACAGACACACTGCAGAACTGTTCCTCTCGAACCAATCCCGGAGCTCCTTCTTCACTGCAGCAGAACCACAAAGTCTGTACAGACCCACCACCTGACACACACACACACACACACACACACACACACACACACACACACACACACACACTGTTAGCATGCTGTCAGCATGTCGCCTGCTGGTATGTCGGTTCCTTCTGGAACCAACCTTCAGGCCTCGCCGTTCTATCTCTGCCACAGTCTTTTGGATCAGCAGGGGTACCGGAGATGCAGATTCTTCTTTCTCCACCAGGTGGTGCAGTTCCACTCCAAACACATTGGCAGGCGTAGAAGAATCAGCGCTGGGCTGCAGACAGAACATTAATGACTCAAATCCCTGCTAGAACCCAACTAGACCGATGAGGATGCAGTATTTGTGAGTACCTGAGTGTCCCACTTTTCCTGCAGAGACAGCTTGACGTACAGAAGTCCTCTGGGTTCCAGCTTCACACAGAGCTGCTGACTGCGACTTCCTGAAGCAGAACCAAGCAGAATCTGGGTCTAACCACCATCATCCAAGTATTTAAACAAAGATACTGAATAAGTTTGGCGTTAGGAACCTTTAAAGAGCGGCGGGATGGAGACTCCACCCAGACAGCAGACTCTGTTCCTGGTTGGACCACCTGAAGGGGGGCTATGGTCTGCTGCTGGTTTACTGGTTCCTGGTGCTGGTGGACTGGCTGCACAGGAGAACAAGTTCATCATTCAATAAATCTGACCAGGAGTTCTGGAGCATAAGAGTGTTTCTATCAACCAGGAAGGTGCAACGAAGCCAGCAGTGGCGCTACAAGGTCCGACTCCTGCTTGTTTATAGACGCTGTTGGTCGTAGTTGTTAACAGCAGTACCACTGACAACAAATTTAAGCCTTCAAACGTGGAAAACATGGAGCGTTTTCTAAAGGTTTCCTGAGGGTTTCAGTTTGCTGGACTGTATTTACAACACAGTGCAACTTGCATTCGAAGCCCCAGCTGCTGAACACAGTGTAGATACTGTGTAGGGCGAACTGAATGCGAGCTACCACAGCAGCATGAGCATGAAACTGTTCACTTGTCCTATTTTGCTGCAGCAAAACAACTGCTCAGCTCATGTGTATCATTCAGTTATGATGTAAACATCCCAGAGAAGAAGAAAATGGATTTTGATGATTTTCCAAAAGTCAAACAACTGGAGGAAGGAGACTGATGACATTTAGTTTGGTTTGCATGACTTCTCTGCAGTGGCAACATGAGTTCCAGCTGGTTCTCCTGGTGGTTCTGTTGCTTTGGAAGCATACCATCAAACCTGCTGACTGCCATACGTTTATCTTAATTTCATGTTGGTTTGGTCAATCTGACAGGTTCTCAGTGGACTTCTGTCTTCTTGGTGTCTAACTGGGTTTATATGCCTTCTCTTGAGTTGTACTGTAGCATCAGTCTGAACTGGACTCGGCAGCAGTACCTGGTGTCAGGATCACAATGCGCAGCTGCCGGGCTCGCTCCAGCTCCAGGTGGAAGGTGTGGTTTAAGGAGAGGGCGGAGCCTCGCAGCGTCAGGAGGGCGGTCCTCGCTCTCGTCACTCCGTCCACCTGGATGGCCAGGAAGACCTCCTTATTGCCCTCCGACCTGCAGAGAGAGAGGCCCAATCAGAGAAGGATCGAACGGGTAAAGACCTCTGACAGCCAATCAGTCACTGCACAGAACCTGAGGCTCTCTGACTGGCTGATTCTCACAGCGCTGCTCTGTGTGGAAGGTGCTGACTATTGGATCAGTGCATGAAAACTTGTTTTCAGTAACAGCTGCAGGTGTTTCCACATATATCTGTGTTTACGTCTGATCAGGCAGCCAATCAGAGCTCAGCCTGCCCAGCTGCAGTTCCTCTAATGTCCACTGGATGCTGCTGCTCCGACAATCCTGGAAAGTCCAGAGTTTCCAGGCTTTTCCAGGTGAGTCGGTACCTGCTGCTCTTCATCTCCTCCAGGCCCAACAGGTGGATGGTCAGTAAACCCGTCACTCTCTGGCTGCATCTCGGCGGGTCGGAACCAACGTACAGCCGGAACGAGCTGATGTCACATGCTGCCTCCTGGGGTGGCTGAGGCGCCTGTTGCCGTGGCAACAACTCAGGGGAGTCACCATCACTGAGATACCCTGAAACACAAATGATAAAACACCCAGAATCAGCATGTTTCCACAGAGATGACCAACTGTGGAGCTAAAGTCGTGTTCTCATCTTGCAGGTGTTGAACTGTCTCCATGTTCCAGCCTCTCACACGCTGTCTCTGGATGATTCAGCAAGCTGCAGGTTTCAGTTTCATTCACATAGTTCCTCCCGTCTCCATCTAAATCCTGCTATGATTGAATAAATTCAAATAAATGTACCTCCTTTACTGGCTGAGCGTCCTCTGGATGATCGTCGCAGTGGTCGGGCTGGAGGGGCAGAGCTATCCAGGTGGTATCTGCTAATCACGTTCTGGTTGGACAGCGCTGACGCAGCACTCTTATTGGTCGCCTCGTCCCCACCCCCTCTACCATCGTTACCGTGGCGATGAGCGCGAGATGATGAGCGGAGGCTGAGTTTGCGTCGTAGCTCAGGAAGTTTCTTCATCTTCATGGAGAGTTTCCTCACCGTACCTGGAGACCTCAGCCTGTCAATCACACTACCGGACACACCCCCTTTCTTCTGGGAGGCGGGGCTAGCGTCAGAGGGAGGGGAGTCTGGGGGGAGATGGAGATGATCACATGACCAGTAGGATGACCACAGAGGAAGAGTCCTTCATTTTGTGTCTCATTTCAGTTGTGTCTTTGTTTTGTCTCCAAATATGAAAAACATTTAAATATGACCCTTCACAGCCTCTGACATCACACTTTGTCTCCTTTCTGTAAGTTTGTGACTCATTTTTCCCATTTTGTTCTGTCTTATTTATGTTTTACATTTCTCTTGTTTTCTGTCTAGTTTGTTTCATTGAACGTCAGTCTGAGATGGACATGATCATGTTATAAGCAGGACCACAGAAGAAGCCAGCAGGCGGACTTTTACCTGTACATTCCGCTCTGATGTCATCAACATGGTGGCTAACACTTGGATTGGTCACCTCCAGTTGAACATCTGCTGCCCACACTCCACCAGGCCCCTCCCGCTCGTCCCTCCTCCTCCAGACGTCCTCGTCCCTGCGAGGTCCGGCGGCGTCGTCCTCCTCAGGGATGGGGTTGTACCAGATGTTGCTGCCGCTGTCGTCCTGAGGTCCGAACACTTCGTCCGACGCCTGGGACTTTCCTGAAGACAGCACCCAGGCCCGGCTGCTGCGGTCCAGGCTCTGCAGGTAGGCCCGCTGGCCCGACAGCTTGGTGCTGACAGAGGTGGAGGGAGCTTCAGTGGAGCCGAGTGCTGGCAGGGAGGACTCCTGCTGGGCTGCACTGATGGAAACACAGGCAGAGCTCGTCCGGTCTCCGTACTGAGGAGTCTGGAAACAACAAGCAGAGCGTAAAGCACTGAAAGGACACAAAGGTTCAGGACGACAAGAAGGAAGAACCACAGAACCAGAAGGAGGCGTCAAACCACCAGATCGAGCTGCGACTGAACCCGGAATCTTAGGAGTTGCATGTGTTGGAGGACTTGGGCTTATCAAGGACACTGAATCAATGTCTGACATTTAAAAAAAACATAAAAAATGTTAAATCCAGGCCTGAGTCCACTTCCTGTAGCAACAGCTTACCAGTGTAACAAAAATGATTCATTTTAAAGAGGGACAGATACAAGAAACAATGAGATGTCACTCAAAAATCAAATGATTCTACACTGCTCCCCCCACAGTAATCAGATTACTTCTAACAGCAGAGTATTGTCTCTGATATCAGGTTACAAACTGCCAGTTCAGATTCATAGACTAACTTCAGGCTCCACAGCAGGAACTAAACTACACTGAGTCCATCTTTATCTCTGCTGACAGACTCCGTCCTCCTCAGCATGGAGGAGACCAGAGTCCACTAAGTTCTGCTCACATCTTCTTGCATTCTTCACATTGTTTTATTCCCCTATTTTTTCTCAGCATCCACACTACTGCCGCTGAGCTCTCTGGTGTATAACGTATTTAATTCACCTCAAAAATGACTGAAATGTCATCACATTTGTTTCCAGGAGTTGAAATGAGGCTATTCTTGGTTTAAACAGACATTTTTACAGTTTATAAATATCATGAATGGATTCAGCATCAGGAATAATCCCTAAAACACATCAGTAGCTTCTGATGTATTGTCCACATTTAATTTTGCTGAACTCTGCTGACTGCATTGAACAATTCCAACATGAATATCTGTGTCTGGAACACGAGAGGGTTCAGCAGACCAGGACCCAGCTAATGCTGCAGCAGAGGATGCACCGCTAAAAAAACCTGTCCTATACCTGCTGCTGTGCTGGTCTCTGGCTCCACACCTGTCCAGGTGCGTCTTGGGATATTGCTTGCAGTCGCTCGTGGTCTGAGAGTCTGGAGGTGGAGCTCGGTGGTAGGGAGGAGGGTGGAGCTACAGAGCCCTGCCGCGCCCACTGCTGCTTCTTGGCAACCGTGATGTGGTTACGAGGTGGCGAGTCGGGGTCGACAACATGCAGCGTCCTAGACGTGGTCATCAATAAAGGCGATGATGGTGAAGAAGAAGTCTGGAAGACTGAGTCGGACCGGACCGGACCGTCTGCAGGAGAAACACTGATGTTAGTAAAATATCTGAGTAGGGAGAGCACGAGAACTGAGGACAGAACCAGGACCCGGAACCAGGAACCTTGTTGGAAAGCTCTGATTGAACCCTGTAGGGTCAGAGGGTAAATGTGGGGTCAGAGGGTAAATGCAGAGTTAGAGGGTAGATGTAGAGTCAGAGGGTAGATG